AAACACGTTATTTTAAAAATAAAATGACAACAAAGTATCGGTTACCATAAATAACTTGTTTAGCAATGGGTTTACCATAAGTCGTATCGCTCAGCGAAAAAAAATCGCCAAAATCCGTGCAACCGTCTACCAAATTAGCCCCCAATAAATTTCAAAGAATACCATATACACAGTGTTCTGTTTCAAATTTAAAAAACATCTACGAATTGCACAATCTAGGCAGCGAAAGAATCTATGAACTACACACACCTCACTTTAATAAATTAACATAACAACAATAAATTTCGAAGAATACCATGTACACAGCATTCTGTTTCAACTTTAAAAAAACATCTACGAATTGCACAATCTAGGCACTAAGCACTAATAAAGAAAATAAACTAAAATAACTAAAATAAATTTCGAACAGTTAAAAAAAAAAAAAAATAAGACAGATATTTATACTAAAAAAACAATCAACATAAATTTCTACAATATAAGAATAAAATAAAATGTGCTTTCCATGATTGAATGCTTTTACGAACAGCAGAAATGCCAATTTCATGCAGCCACGTAATCGCTATCGTATTTATATGACAGCCAGACACACTATCCAGAAAATTCATACTATGGTTCACAAATAAAAAGTTCAAAACCTTCTTTTCCTAAATTCTTCTAAGATTTCCAGCCATCCAAAAAAATAATTGTACAAGGCTCAATCCACTCTTTAACACACTGCATCAGCGTTTCCTTATTTCTATCATGCACAGCCACTAAATATAATCCCCAGACCCTCTTGCAACCACGTCTCTCACTGCAACGTAGGCCGTTTCAAAACACACGCGACACGAACCAACGAGCAATTAAAACACTCCAGCAAAGGAATATTCAACGGCAAAAGAGTTGCCATACAACACGCAATCGCGCCAAAAATGAAGCATGAGGAAAGATATTAAAAGATGAGTGTTCCTTAGAAAGTTCATAAATAGATCTTTCCGCACTAGTAAATTGTCATAGTGAGCTTTGCCATAGTTCAGTAATCCTACATTACCTAGTATCCAAATAGAACATATAAAAATATAAAATCTTATGCTGTAATATGACTAAAATGAAATTAATTGATTGTGTCACATTATACATTTCAGTGGTCTGCAAACTTTCTCAGCTGTGGAAAGCTATAAAACCATGTACAGTCAAAAGACGTTAATCCGGACTCGTCGGGACTTCGGCAATTCCGGATAATCGATTTTTCCGGATTATAGATCATCAGTTTAAATCTCGTAAGATGGTATGCAGAAATTACAAAATTAAAAATATGAAACCGTAATTTATGAAATAAAGAACAATTAAGATCTAAAGGGTATCAAAATTTGCAAAAAGAAAAATCTTAATATTTATTTGTTTACTTTATTAAACATTTCTTTCAATGTAAGTTGTTTAAGTTTTGCTTCGTTTCATAGCAAAACGTTTCATAGCGTGATAATACTTTCTCTTTAATTCTATTAAACAGACATAATCTCTTGTTCAGTTACAAAGTTCCGCTGTTCAAGTCCTATAATTGCTGTGTCGAGAACACCGACTAATTTGTCAATCGAAATTTTTTCGTTTTCAATAACCTCTGTCACTTTCTTCGCTATCGGAAGCGAATTATAATGACGAGGAACTTGTTTTAAATCATGTCAAAGACGGAGCATATCGAGATGAAATACTACATTTGGTAAGGAATTATAAGCCAAATAAAATAAAAACATCTGCGCTGAAGATAAGGATAGTGCTGACAGATCAACTTCCAATTCAGTACGTGCCCGCCGCGGCGTTCCCCCCGCCAAACAGCGTGAAATTGATGAACAGATTTCGGATTTCAAAACATACTTTCGCTTTAGATCCTTTACATATTAACAAATATATATCGGAAATTCTATTTGATATAGTCGAAAGTTTAAGCTTACTTTTATAAAATTGCTCTTACAGTCTGCAAAAAATAATAAGCCAGATCCAATTCGAAAATTAAGGAACAACGCAATCAACATTAACTGAAATAGATAATTTTAGCTTATACGTCCATTATACATAAAACGTGCACGGCAAAACATATTCTGCACTTGCGCACACTCATATGCGCAGTCGTAAAAGGTCTTACGCGCACGCATAAACGCCTATGCGCATGTGTCAACGCGGCGCATGCGCAGAAAGTTTTTAGTTTTGAGGTCCGGAATTATAGATCATTCTGAATTATGGGTGTCCGAATTAACGACTTTTGACTGTATATGTATGTAGTATGTGCACTTTTATGAATTCATTTTAATTTGTTAATTTAAGTTTATCAGCTGAATGTATTTCCATTTAATTTTTTATGCCATATATATACACACATGTACAGTAAGAGCACGGATACATGAAAAATATTTAATAATTGAAAAATCAATCCCAAAAATTTTAAAGATTTTTTTCAAGGCAAATAAATTGCATAAAGTGAATAATTGTTGAGCGGGCAGGAGATTTTCAAGGTTCACTCATCTTTTCAAGGTGAAGTTGCCTCCAAACCTAACTCTTCAATTACTCAATTCGTGTTTCGTCATTTATATACAGTCAAAAGTCGTTAATCCGGATTCGTCGGGACTTCGGCGATAAATATGAAACTGTAATTTATGAAATAAAGAACAATTATGATCTAAAGGGTATCAAAATTTGCAAAAAGAAAAAGCTTAATATTTATTTGTTTACTTTATTAAAAAAACTTTTTTTTCAATGTAAGTTGTTTAAGTTTTGCTTCGTTTCATGTGATAATACTTTCTCTTAATTCTATTTTTATTAAACAGACATAATTTCTTGTTTCAGTTACAAAGTTCCGCCGTTCAAGTCCTATAATTGCTGTGTCAAGAACACCGACTAATTTGTCAATCGAAATTTTTTTTTTTTGTTTTCAATAACCTCTGTCACTTTTCTTCGCTATCGGAAGCGAATTATAATGACAAGGAACTTGTTTTAAATCATGTCAAAGACGGAGCATATCGAGATGAAATACTACATTTGGTAAGGAATTATAAGCCAAATAAAAATAAAACACATCTGCGCTGAAGATAAGGATAGTGCTGACAAATCAACTTCCAATTCATTACGCGGGCGGCGCGCCCCGCCGCCGAGCAGCGTGAAATTGATAAACAGATTTCGGATTTCAAAACATACTTTCGCTTTAGATCCTTTACATATTAAACAAATATATATCGGAAATTCTATTTGATATAATCGAAAGTTTAAAGCTTACTTTTATAAAATTGCTCTTACAGTCTGCAAAAAATAATAAGCCGGATGCAATTCGAAAATTAAGGGACAACGCAATCATCAACATTAACTGAAATAGATAATTAGATAATTTTAGCTTATACGTCCATTATACATAAAATGCGCACGCGTGAACGCCTCTGCGCATGAGTCAACGCGGCGCATGCGCAGAAAGTTTTTAGGTTTGATGTCCGGATTATAGATCATTCCGAATTATGGGTGTCCGAATTAACGACTTTTGACTGTATAAGGTTAATTTTTGGATTATTAAATATTTTTTCATGTATTTAGATGCTTGCACTTAATTTATGTATGCTTTTTGAATTTGAATGGTATTGCAAATTAGTTCGAAGCAATAATTATTCTTTTAATTTGTTTATAATTGAATTTCCATAATTTAAAATTTAAATTAACTTTATATGAATGAGAAAATGTAATTGTGTATGTTAAATTCAAATTTCATTCCTTGCAGCAATCGCAGAAGAAAATTAATTTTATTTAACTGTACTATTATATATGTGTGTTCATTTCAAAAACTTGATAATTTAGTAATAATAGATTAAACCATTACGGGAAGATATTAAAATTGTGTAAAGAAACCTACTACATTTTGAAATTATGAATCGAAGTTAAAGATTATCCTTTGCTATACTAGTAGTATAGTGAATGAGTTACTTGGTGCACCAACTTCAGCATCATTTAGCCCAGTGTTGTCTTTCAGCTCACTGACTGAATTGCTTGTTTTGGCATAGAAACTCTTAATTTTAATTGTAAAAATTGTTTTTTTAAACTGTTTTTATTTCTGTGTTTTGAAATTTTTAATGAGGATGTTTGGAGTTTTTATGTATCTTTTCCTTGCTGCAAAGTGAGAACTGAATTGATAGAATGAAAGTATATCTCTAATAAAATTTGAGGAAATAAGTTTAAATGAATTTTGGTAAAAAATGTGTATAATTTAATAAATTACACTAGGCCATATAAGGAAGCCATGTTGTGTCTTCATCACAAGTTTTATAAGCCAAAACTCCATATAAAATTTTCCCAAACTCTACTGTGATATTATTACTTATAAGCTAGTGTTCCATATAATTTTCATAACAGAATTAAATTATTAGGACTTCTTTCTTATGCATAATATATAAATTGGTATTGTGTATTCAGCATGATACTTGTCAAAGCATTCAGCCTTGCAATGTCATGAGCTGAAGAAATAAAAAAAACCATACCTCAACTGACAGAATGAGCAGAAAGCAATTTATGAACGTAATAAAAGCTGCCCATTTTATTGTAACTATTCCATTGAAAAATATTACTTTTATGGGAATCTGCCTGTACATAAATAAACTTAATTTTCTGAGAAGTGTAATGTGATTAAAATGTTTACTTTTTAGCAAAACATCAATATTTAAATTTAACCTGTGATATTATTTTGGTCTTTTTACTTAAAATTGACAAGGACGAGTTCTTGAATTCATTTCCATATTTTGTTCGTTTTAATATAAAAATGCTTTTGTAAAATATCTTTATAATTTTATTTAATATTATTAAAATGATGCTGCAGCCTCAGGACTGATCAGTTTGAGATAACTCTCCTGAATTTCCATTATTATCTTTCTGCAAAAATATATATGTATGTACATTGATATATATGTAAATTATATTGAAGAATGCTATTTCTATCCTTTAGAACAGTTTTGCCCCCCCCTGTTTAATATAGGCTATGGTTCTGTATATTTTAGAGTTTGCAGAATTACAAAGATAGTGATTTTAAGCAATACTGGATGCCAGATAGCAATTGTAAAGAATGCTATGAATGTGGTGATAGGTTCACAACATTTAGGAGGCGTCACCATTGCCGAGTATGTGGTCAAATATTCTGTCGACGCTGCTGCAGCCAAGAAATTCCGGGAGGTTTAATTGGCTATACTGGTAATATATTTTTTTAATGATAAATGTTGTGCAATAAGTTTGGATTTTTTACCAAAGTATAAAATCATGTTCAATATTAGTGACTAAAATGCATACTTTAATACTTGCTCATTATCCCGTCAACCATGAAACTTTTGCCAAGCAGCACTATTTAGCATCAGTTATGTATGACGTGGTGTCACAGCTTACTTATAGCATATGTGCTGTTATAACCCCTAATGGTTTTTGAATTTAAATCATATTTGTGAGTATTTTCTGATTCATTAACAACTGGTCGAGAGAATTAATGTCTGTTGAAGAATGTCTGGCAAAAGGGTAAATCGATTGTAACAGTTGCCTGTGGGAAGTTTGTATTCATAGCGCTTTCAAGCATACACAGAGCTTTGAGTAAAATCGAAAAACTTAACAAAATACAGTAAAAATTGATAAAAGCCTTTTGCAAAGTAGATCGAGTATTTCCATAGCAGTGGCTATTTGATCGATTATGTAAAAAAAGTGAGGAATGTTTTATTGAAAAAAATTGAAAATAAAAGTGCAGCTCAGAATTCCACTGGAAAAAAATTGGTGCAAGTTTGGCCTAATCATGGATTGATGGTGGACACCTTTCGGGGTCGACAGGATAATACGTTAAATATCCATATTTTTTCGAAAACTGTAATATAAAATAATTGACAGACAATTTAAATTTTATTGTAAAACCTTAAGTTACGTTTTGTTATATTTTTTATGTGAATCAGTCACATTTTTTAATTGCATCTTATTGCGCTGTCAAAAACAATTTTCATAATACAGAACATACCTGCATTTTTCCAAATACTTTGGTATTTTGTATTAAAGTCATATCATTTGGCATTCTGGGGGTACCTTTCCTGTTACTGGGACTGGATTCAAAAATGTGTGTATGTATATATATATATATATATATATATATATATATATTTTTGGTGTGTGTGTGTGTGCATATGCACATACACACACATACATATATGCATCTCTGAATCCAGTCCTGATAACAGAAAAGTACCCTTTTTGGTTTGTCTTGCTTTTTTGATGCAAAATGCTGCACATTTGGTTGGTCTTCTTTTGTGCATAGCTTTTTCATTATTTCAGTGGATTTCGTGACTTGTGATTTGCCAAGAGACGAAAAAATGGCTATACTGTTTCTTCAGAGAAGACTAGCATGCAAAATTTTTAAAAAAACTAAAGATTACCTAAAATAAATACACCATAACAGTTGATTGAAATGATTACATAAGAAAGGGACATAGCAATTCCTTGGTATCTCACTCTAACTTTAAAATAGATATATGCAACAAAATTGTAGAAACTTATTCACAGTTAAAAAAATAACATGGGTAGTGTTCTTTATGGACAGTGCATTTTCAGAGAATTTTGTAATGAAATTAGAAAACGTTTCTTTTTGCAGTTCTCAGTCATTTCATTAAGTCAAATGCATGGGAAAAGAAATAAAATAATATGTGCCAGATTGCACCAAAAATGCGTGCTTGTAGTTATAATGAAATGCACCAATATTTCTGTTATTAAAAATAATACCATCCCTAACTATGATTACTGCAAGTGTTTAACAATCTTAGAAGCTTTTTCCTGATTCTTCTAGAGAAGAGTTTTTGTTTTATTTCTTTAGTACACGTGAATACAAATATTGCATATGAAGACAGAACAGATTTCAGTTTCATAAAACTAGATGCATTTCCAGAATTTTTGCGTGTAGCTATGAAATTGAGAACTAGTCATTATGAGAAAAATAATGGAGGAAAATTTTCTGTCTTAATTACGAGGAAAATTTCTTATAAGTTTTGCTACCTCTAGTGCCATCAGTGGTTATTAATCCTCTATCCCCAAACAGAAGAAATTAATATACTTGTAATAATAAAAAAAAAATGACTATTTTACAGTTTGAGACTAAATTTAATTTTGTATCATCTAGAAAATTCTGCAGGTTTCTGGAGATAAATACACTCTTGGAAGCAAAAAATATATGCACACCAAAAGAATTGCACCACAGTTTCAAAACTCAGTAGTAGTACAGTGTTCGAGTAGATAAACAATTGGTCAAAAACTGGGGTGAAAAAAAGCATTTTATTTGCAAGTAGCAATAGAAAGAATGTGAAAAATCAGTAGGTGGTAAAGCCATCCCTGGCAGCTAGCTATACGAGTCACTATTCTGTTGGGCACGGATTCTGTTAAGCATTCAATGTTTCTCTGCAGTAAATTGTGCCATAAATGGAGCAACTGGTCAAGCAAGTTGGGACATACTTGTACATGGCTGAATTTGCCTGCACAATATGTCCTGGCAGCCATTTGAGGACATTAACACATCAAATACAGTGTTAGGAAAGTCATGCTGTGTGTGGCCAAGAATGTTCCTGCTTGAAAATGGAACCTGGACGAGCTACTATTAAGAAGGCAGTACAATCGGCTGCAAAATATTATCAATGTGCTTACAAGCATTCAAAATACCTCGCAGCACGACTAATGGTAAACGCCTGTTCCAGTTGGCCGCTTCCCAGACTGTCGCACTCTATGTTCTGGCTATGGCCACTCGGTAACAAATGGTACATTGAACCTCTCACTTTCCTTATACATTATGTGTGTTATCATTATTGAGAAGATTCATCGCTGAAGGTCACATTTTCCCATTCAAACACTGTCTATCTTGAGTGAAAGCGGCACCTTGCAAGACAACACTGCTTATGGTGGAATGTTAATGGCAAGCATCTTAATGGAAATTTGAAATCTGAATCCAACGTCACTTAGTATTCTGCAAATTGTATCCCTAGGTACCCCAAATCCCTGCATGTTGGCAAATGGCATTGAATTGATGGTAGAGTAACTGTTGGTGCAGACATAGCAGCTTTTCTGGTTACGCATTGGTGGCCCGGGGGCCTTCTGTGCCACTAGACTGGCTGACTATGCCTTCGCTGAGCCATTGGTTCCAACCACAGACAAGGACCATAGCACTGCGACCAATATGCCAGCTGATTCATCTGTTCAACCAACCCACCTCTTTCAGCCCTGTGATCTGACCCCTGTCAAAGTCTGATAACTATTCCTAATGCCATCAAGTGTGTCTTAAAGGCATCTGTTATTACAGTGTCGTGTATTTAAATTATCACAACAGCTCCTCACTCACTGCACCTATTCTTTTAGATTCTATCAGCTGCATAGGCATGTGTTGCATTGCTCCCGATGCTGATTAATGCTGCTAGTTTAATCATTTACACAATTCACTAAACTATATCTGCATGTAGTGTTTTATAGTCGTGGGTCAGTTTTTTTCTTGGTGCATATATTTTTTTGCAGCAGAGTGCAAATGAAGCATAAGAAAATTCCATTAAATTGCATAGGTACCATTTTGTGTTTAGAAAACTCCTTTTTTCTCAAAATCATGTGGTTTATTTGTAAAGAAGAGTAAAGTACTGTTTGTCAGTTTCCACAGAAGTGAACTACAGACTGTTCAGAGAATTTTAAAATGGTCTGAAGAGCGGAAAGTCTGGTGAATGTGGGGGATGTCACAAAATATCCCATCCATATTTGGCAAGTCTTTGTTTGACATTCATCAAAATGCAAGGCCAAACACTGATTGAAGTAACTTCTAGAATTAGTCAGTTCTAGGTGCTTTGCTTTAATTTCTTTTAAAACTGCAATTTTGGGAGTAGCATTTTTCCAACTAAATCATGTGATTTGGGTGGCAACATTTATAATATGCAATTCTTTAATAGTCCCACCATACACAAAGATTTGCTTTTTTGGAAATGCAGCCCATTTCTCAGTGTTACTAAAGTTCATCTGCCTTACCTGATGATTTTGTTTCTTGATTTTGTTTCACCCTGTATATTATTAAATTTTAATTTCAAACTATGCATTATATGTATACCATGTATTATATTGTTATATTGTATACACATCTCATTTCAAGTAATGAGCAATTTCAAAAAAAGGAGATTCTTTATTTTGTTTTACCGAAGAATTGCATCTTGAAATTTAAGCAAGCATTTTAAGCTCTGTTAATGTATGAGGTACGTATATACCACAGGGGTTTACATACACAGTCCTTTTCAAATGATCATGTACTGCACGTTTTTTGGAATAGCTAGTCTTTCTGATAGTTCTTGAACTACATAACATTGATTTTCAGACATAACTTCTTTTAGTAAGTCCTTGTTTGTAGTGGATGGTCTACCCAGAGTGAGCATTACCTTCAAGGCTGAAATTTTTATATTTTAATTTCTCAAATTACCTTAACTGTGCCACCAGAAACAGCATTTTGTCCATATACATGACAAATTTTATGAGCAATCTAGCTAGATTTTTTCCCCCTCTGTTTTAAATAAAAGAGCATAATGTGACAGCACTGCACTGAAACAAATACTATGTTATAACATATGCTAGAGTTACGGAACATGAGCAGAAAAGACCGTATTTACACATTCCCTTAGCAGTAACAAAATTATAAGAAGAAAAATTTCATTTGAAAAAGCTGCAAAACTTTCCAGAAGTATCCTGAAAGTATCTTCAAAAGCGTCCAATTTTGTGAAACATCTTTGTATGTCTGACAGCCAAAATTCCATGCAAATTTTTGCTTACTTTTCTCCCTAATTTTCTTCTTTCCTTCTACAGTTATTTTCAATGCTCACACAAGAAAATTAAGATTTTTCAATTGCTAGACTTCCATCAATTTTGAATTCTTGTCAATTTTTTTAGAATATCAATTACATGAATTGTGTTTCAGCTGAAGACAGCTTTTCATTTTCTAGTCATTTTAACTATAAATAAAGCGAAGTCCAAAAAATAACTATTTTAATTAGAAGATTTTTTTTGCTAAATGACAAAGAAATAAAACAGTCCAGCAGTGTTTATTCTGTAACCACCGAGAGACCCGATTCTTATCGACTGAACCAATCTAAATCATATTAAAGATCATGTTTTTTTATACAATCTATAACGCGAGAGAAAAATTAGCTTCTTCAAACATTCTT